TGACTAGCAAGCCCTTCTGGTTAGTGTGAACGGTATCCAACTACTAGTCTCAACCAGCCAGTAGTATATGGCATGATGCATTTTACTGCGTTAATAACTCAGCAATAGAACACACGGCAGTCAGTCATGCTAATCATATTTGATTCCTAATCGACATATGAACACTGCTTCTGTGAAATAGTTAGTACTAAATATGATGTGCTTACTGAGTGTCTTTGCTCTATACTGAAGATCAGATAGATCGCCGGGCCGGAAAGAATCACCAACAAGAAACTATGGAAACAGGCAAAACAAGAACCAATCACCCAACAAATATGCAGGAGAAAATGGGGATGGATTAGACACTCGCTGAGGAGACCGCTGGGTGACATCACGCGCGCGTCAGGCCATTGCTCAAGTGGAACCCGAAAGGGAGGCAGCGAGTGGGACGTCAGTGCAAGGGTGACATGGAGAAGATCGTGTGAAGAGGAGTTGAAACAGTATGAAATAATATGGATGTAGGTGAGAAGTACAGCAGAAGGAAGATAGAAGTGGCAAGTGGAGACATGCAGTTGAAGCCATATGTTCCACTAGGAACCCGACCGAACAAAAATAATAATAAATAATAACTGAGGAATCTTATATCAGCACTACTGGGTATTAACCTCACGTAGTTCACTAGTTTACTAGCCATTTCTATGTCCTGAAAAATGTGGGGAAGGTGAAGCATGGGATTAGCGATCCAACGGTGGAAAATCAGTCGCTACATAAAATATAGAAAATGAGCTTATTCTTCTCTGGAATCGAAGAGGGACAGAATGATGTGAGCTAGTGAAAGCCTTAGAGAATCACGTATGCCAAAACCACTTCAACATCACGAAGTACGTTGTGAAAATCATTATCACATTTATTCAATAGCAGGATTGATAACGAAAGCGTAATTTATCGAATCAGCCGAAATTACATGGAATAGAAATGATTCAGCACATGGTCAGCTGAATATCGGGATAATTCAACTACCCCTAAAACGATAAAATATGAAGGATTAAAGAGAGCTATAGAAAGAATGTTTCGAAGTTGTGTAGGCCCTTCAATTAATATGGTCATGAACGAAAAATAAATGGTGTGTCGAAACTTTGTCATGCAGTAAATAATACAGTTTCATCACTGTGTACTATGCCCATCGAATAGACAAATTAATATTGAATTTCATCCAATACCCATTTTGACAACACAAAACAAGAATAAAATGCTTGTGAAATGTGTCAGTTATCCAAGTTTTAAATGCACACTATAACACAAGTTCAACTCAATAAGCTGAAAAGATGAATAAATTTATTGGCTACAGGATTTCATCCTGAGCTGACATTGATTAAAGAACCATTGGAAAACCTAGAAGTAATGTGCAGCTGTTTCATCCTAGTTTGGGACTCTTCAGCAGTACACACTCACCTGGGTCCGAACCGAGGACTTTCTGGTTACAAGGCGAGCTTGTAGGCCATTACGCCACTGGGACTCAATCCAATGGCCTATGAATTCTAACTTCTGCCAATTCACGATATAGTGCGACAGCTAACCAATGTCTTTGGTGGCGAGTATTTGTCCTCACACCCGACCTGCTGCATCCTACTGGTCACGACTTCACCCAGAAAAAGAATGAACATGCAGTTATGTAAGCACACAGTTTAGGCACTGTGGTAAGGTATAATCGCATATGATACACAATGATGAAATATTTATGATTGCTTGACACTTCAAACACTTTAAAGAAATTCTGCTTGACCTAAATTTTGTGTTGGTTAGCGCTCTCCAGTCAGCAAGATATATTTTTGCAATCTAGAAAGCACTATTGTCCGTTCTGAGATTCGAACGCAGGTCACTCAGTAGATGCTGCAGTCGGAGGTGTTACCACTGAGCTCCTCGGGCTCTTAACTGACCTCGTATAGGACTATATTGGATACTTTGGTTGGACAATGGTTACTAACTGGTGTAATATGTCCTTTTTAACGAGTGCCAGTCAGCAAAAACCTATGTCCAAGGCTTCGTTCCGACTGCCTAGTGGTATGATGGCCACACTCAAGACTTTCCTTTTAGAATTCACTCAGCGCGAAACAAAGGACTAGACACATCACACTAGTTGCTAACTAGTATCCAGTCAAAATAATTATTTTCTTTATTTTTTCATTTTATAACAGCTTGATTCTAGACATTATTTTGGTACAAGTGTGGAATTTCCAGCATGCGATATTGGTAGCCGAAATTTCGCAAGCTGACCATTGATATCAAGCGTGCGTCGGCAGGGGATCGAACCTCGGACCATTTTCATGATTGGCGAGCGTCCTAATCGCTGAACTACCGATGTACTGATAGTGTTGAAAAGTAATACATTATGTATAGAGAGATAAGTTAATCAACGAATCACTCGTGGAATCAACATGAGACAAGTGCAATCAAAATGATGCAATGCCTAACGCTGATTTTTGCGCATTTGCGATGAAATCAGGGGAGGTAAGTCTACATAAAGCGAATTGGGAAGCTATATGAATGCATATTGATATGATTATTAGCAAAAATACGGTGTATGAAACATCGTCATCCAATTATTATTATTATTATTACTGTATTACTCGCTCTATGTGTTCTGTCAAATATTAAATAAGCTTTCGATGACGCAAACAAGATCCTGGGTTAAGAAATGTTTGCATTCCTATTTTTCTAATAGAATGCAGTATACTGTATATAATGGTAAATCTTCTTCTGCCTTGCTTACAAAAGCCGGTGTTCCTCAAGGTGCCGTCCTCTCTCCTTTTCTTTTTCCTTTCTTCCTATACGACCTGTCTCATTTAAACGAAACTAACTTTGTCAAATATGCGGATGATCTGACTACATCACTGCCTATCACTTCTGAGTCTGACTGCTCCAAACTTAACAGCTTTCTGTTGGACATCAGCTAGTGCTCTAAGTCAAATGGTCTTATGTTAAATCCTTCCAAATATCCGGCAGTTAACTTCACTTTCAAGCATCGACGTGACATTCATGAACTAGTTAGTTCCCATGATGCCTGTAGCATAAATGGCACTGAAATTGAAACCAAGTCAAGCATTAAGTACCTTGGATTAGTTCTTTCCTCTGACCTTCCTTTCATGGTCATCCCACATCTTATCAATCTCTAAGAAAGTGTTTCGTCTTACCTTCTACAATAAAAAGTTAAGACTACCAGGTATCAACCAGTTTCAAAACTCCTGTAGTTTACCTATTGTACTCTGTTGTTCTCCATTAATCTTTCCTGGGCTTCTCAGAAAAGACTATATCATATTACGAAGGGTATTAAATGCTGTGAGTAGGGTTTGTGGTATGCCACTGCGTGAGCTCGCAAACAGTACAGTCGAGAGACACATAAATTCCTGTAAAAAATGGGCAAAGGCCGTACTGTCAAACCCCTTGCATCTCATCAGGTAGTAAGAGAAGTCTATGTAAGAAGTTATATGCTCGAACCACTAAGTACAAAAATTCTACAATACCGTATTTAGCCCGTATTTTATGTGATGGAGACACCGTTAGACGTGAAACATATAAGTTACTATGTAATTAGCAAAGTGAATTGAGCCTTTCAGTGTTCATTTTTCTGTAATTTTATGGCGTGACGCTTTCTGTCGTTTAATTATAACTTTGCTATTTTATTTTAGTTGTTATTACAATTATGACCACAACTTTATACTTTATGCATATTTTTCTCCGTATCACATACAGTAATTTGCTACACAGCTGCTATAACAACGTTTTGTTATTATTATTATGTAATGTTCATATTTTTTCGTCGTTTTGAGTAAATTAGATTCAATATTATTCTGAATGCTGAAAATTCCTTGCTGTATCATAAGGACTACTTTTTGGAATAAAGCAAAAATAATGATTATTATTAAAAAAGTAGGCCCATCTATTCAATCTAAGGAAGATCTTTTATTTCGTTACTTTGATTAAATTATGGGAATATTCAAGTCACTGAAATCTAGTGAGCATTCCATAGCTCTAAAGGCACTCAATGAGCACCTGAAGTATAGTGCTACGCTCATGGAAGCAAAACCGAACATGGAATTTATATGAAATTGTATTACTGATAGTTAGTTATTCAGAATTATATAATATTGCATATGTTTCCGTTACCCCTTCTACAGATAATACAATTATGGAGGAAAGATAAAATTTCATAGTTTCAGAACGTCTATTTTACACAGAATTTTATCATTAGTGCACTTGTCAGTTTCCTATAAATATTGAAGTTGACAAAAACAAGTATTGGTGGGATTGTTGTTGCTTTTACAAGGTCAGGTGGTTAACTTCAAACTCAAATGTCCTCCTTTTTTCGGATCTATTTAGTAAACTGGACAAGTTTTCTAAGAGTTCGTTGGCCAGGAATCGAGTAGAAGCCTCCCGTGTTGCTGGTGTACATTCATGACACCACCAGAGGTGGAAACCATAACTTCGAGGTGTCACAACAACCCCATGAAATCAATGAAATCTCTCTGAAAAGGAATTAACCGCTGGCTATTGACTGACCTCTGAATAAAATCCCCAGTATTTTAAAACAAGTATGGAATTCTCAGCATATGATGCCGACAGCCCTAATTTCCCAGACCGACCATAGATATCAGGTGTGTGTCGGCAGAGGACCGAACCCCAGATCATGTGCATGGTCGACGAGAGTCTGAATCGCTGTGCCACTGATGCTGAAAATTAGTGTTCACAAGTCTTTGGATCTCATTCCGAAGATTCAGCGGAAAATATACTCCTATGGTAACGCGAATCTACTGTTTTTGACCCGTACTAAAGGATGATGAGTTTTAAAATAGAACGAAACCAATGTTCACTGCTTCTCGGATTTTAAGGATTCGTCAGCTAATTCGTCTCGTGATGAATCATACCATGAAATCAATCTTATTCTTTCAACCCATTACTCAAAAATTCAAATAATTAGTTATTAAATAGAATATATATATATATACATGAGGCAACGGACTTACCAAATAATATATTGACAATAGACGGTGGTAAATTTAGTGTAACATGCAACAAAGCGCCTATTGCTTGTGAACCGATAAAAAAATAAGCTACAGGAACATTTTTCCCATTACCAGCTGTTTGTAATGCTCCACCGAGGAGAATACAATTAGCCAGCCATGTCAGAATTATCAATGTACTGGTTAGGCATAAAACAGTCCAATTTATTGTTTGTTCATTATTATTATTATTCGACTCCTCACTTGACCGAATTGTACGTATTACTTCCATGCTTGTGTTAATTAGATATTCAGGTATAAAAAATTGATTACTGGTAACTCTCATAAATCCATGAGAATTAGTGTTATTCATTATGTCGGATGTGTGGAGGATATTAGTGTAAGCTGCTGATTTATGTAATGTATCCTCCTTGTTTAGTAACCCCATCCGAAGAAGAATAACTCCTGTCTACTGATAAATTGGTATGATGATTAGCGGTGTTTTTGAATCAGCTGTCGAAATTATTTTTACATGTGATGATTAGGAATTCACACAGAATGCTGGAAGTTTCAGAAATTTAACATACTTGTTAATAATATTTGTATTCTATGTAAATATGTATATATTTGTGAATGATTTTATTCAAACGCCTATCTGATTGGTCAGTTTTTAATGAACCTCAAGGTCAAAGGGAAGTTAAGAATAACACTGATTGGATCATAGACACTGGTGTGAATATATTTCCCCAAATAAATAAATAAATACATAAATAAAATTTCCGGTTTATAAATAGCCATCTATATTTATTTATATTTGCGGTTGTGCATATGTAAAAAAGTCATGAGGCGGCTACGTTTTTTATTCGAGGCCAATTCATTTTTTTCTTTAGCTGTACAATCGCATTTATGTAAAACGCTTTTCTTCACAATTTAAGGATAGTAACAAAAGTTAGGGAACGATTGGAAAACCAACAACCATTTTGTTCTAGCTAGGGACTCTTCAGTAATACGCACCTACTGCCAGGATTCGAATGCATGTTCTCCCAGGTACAAGGCATGCTTGTAAACTATCTGGCCACTAGCATCCGAACCAGTGGTCCATGGATTTCACCTTCTGATAATTCTTGATTTTAGCGCGGCCATCGCCCACTGTCATCATTGATTATTTGTCCTCACTTGTAATCGCACGGACCCTTCTGATTATTACTTCTGACTAGGTAATTAATCCTAACTCTGGTAGTCGTGTACTGATGAACAGTCTTTAGATGGAATGAAACAGCTCTAGCTGATTCTTGGGTCTCCTAGCGGTTCTTTAACTGTTATCAGTTGAAAGTCACACAGACTAACTTCATAATGTGGATTAGTATTATTAATTCCCTGCGTTTCAATTGGTATAAAGAGTCATAGAGGCAAAAGTAACCTCTCTACCCAGTTGTCTGACATCACTTTCAACTCTCTTCACTATCACCTTACAAGCATTATTTTCGTAGCCACATGATCTCCTCCACATTACTGTCAAACTCCTAACTTATCCCGTCCCTTGAGAGCCTGCTTGGCGTGTGGTGTTATCTGAAAGTCTTCTCAGTGTTCGTATAATCCATCTTCATTCAGTTATGTAGATTTATAAGAAAACAGGTTGACTGTTTGACTGATGAAATTACTTGTTTCTGGATTGTAAGTTAATAATTGTCTTAATTTAAATCCTACGACTGGTGACACGTGGAATTTCCAAATTGTAATACAATATTACGTCTAATGCGCTTTCCTTAATAATAATAATAATAACTGGCTTTATTCCAAAACAATACTCGTAATACAGAATGGAATTCTCAACATTTTACTACAGTATTGCATCCAGTTAGTAAATTAACAATAAAATAAAATTCCACATAGATTAAGGGTAATCTCAGTTAGTTTGGACAACAGCATATTAGCATATCGGTAGCAAAGCCAAAAGTGAACAGAATGTTTGAAGGTTTTAGAAAAGTAGATACTAGCATATTCACTGGTGTAAGAGGTTACAAAAGGTCGAGATATACAGAGTGTGAAAGAACGAAGAAGAATGTTTTAAGTAGAGTTTGTAAGGGAGAAAGAAATAAAGCAGCACATAACAATAAACAGAGAGAGAGAAAAGGAAAGGAAAGAAGGAAAATGTTGAACCCATAAATGATATGAGTTGGAAAAACGAGATCCAGATTAGTTCTACTGACTATTTAATAAGTTATAAATTTCACGCCTAATGCTTTCCTTATCTCACAGAACATGACCCAAGTGGTGTATGATTGAGTTTTGTACTTGCTAGTGCGAGCATATAGTTTTCTATATAGGCTTCTCGTTCTACCTGATGAAATACATGGGGAGAGTTGTGAATGAAGAGAGTGATGTGCGTTAGATAAAATAAATTTAGGCCGATTTTCACATGAGTCCAAGTGCCTGTCGACCAGAATACTAACAAGCTTACCCTGTTGCCAACCTTTCACATCCACGTAATACGATATAGTCTTTCTTTAGTGACTCAGGAAAAACTAAGGAAGAACAATAGAGAATAATAGGCAGGATGCAAGAGTTAACGAATCGAGGAGGTAAGGGTTGGATTATTCTAGAATGTCTTAACTTCTTCATGTAGACGGTAAGACGGAATATTTTCTTAGAAACCATCACGATATGAGACGATCAAGAAAGATCAGCAGATAGAATGACGCCAAGATATTTGATTTCCGACTTGGTTTCTATTTCAGTGTCATCTACGCTGCACACCTCGTGTGAGTGATAACCAGGTTATTTAGATCAGATTTGTGCCTAAAGGTGAAATTAATTGGCATTTGGAGGGACCACTGACTGATTTCTGATAAAAAGCCATTTAGTTGGGAGCAGTCACTTTGATATTTGACAGGCGAACCTACTGTCAGATCGTCAGCATATTTAACAAAATTTATGTCATTTGAAGATGGTAAGTCATGTAGAAAGAAAGAAAGAAAAGAGAAGTGGGGAGAGTACAGCATCTTGGTGGAGACCAGCCCCAGTGAGCACAGCAGAGGAGGATTTACCTTTGTATACACGCTACATGTGTACTACATAAGGGAAATAATTAACAGTTCATTTGCGTTTACAACAATTTCAATGAGAATATGAAGAAATACTGACAACATTTTATTAGAGTAGAAAACATTTCAACAGGTCAGCCATCTGGAGGTCACTATCAAGCTAGAAAAAAGACGGCTGTTGATGTAAATCTGCGACAGCCTATTCGAAATGATTTTGATGTCATTTTGATGCGTTCATTCTCTAAACCATATAAAAACGCTAACGATTAAATAAGTGTCACAGATCCCAATTCACATCCCTTTTAGAGAGTGTGTAACACATTTCTACACCGATTTCAGGATAATGAAGATGTGTCTTGTGTTTGAGATCTTGCCTAGCATTGATATCCTCTGATATCTTTACCATCTGAATTTGAAATGATACCGTCTGTATAATTGAGAGAAAAGCGATTTTCTTGAAATGTCTCCTGTTAAATAATAATTGCCACTTGTTATTGTTGCTGGATAGGCAATATTAAATCACCTCTGAGTAATGTTCATATATAATACAGAACTTTCAGTGGTGTTTATTGTTTGATGTCTTCTCTCTTCGTCAAGGATTTTCATATAAAACACTGATTGACAGTAGGTCGTGTGAAACAATTCCATCTGAACTGGAACACAAACCAATCCACCACCATTATGATACCTCTTTTCTTTTTTCTCCTTCGCGAAATACACGACACTTTGTTGAATGTTAATTATAAAAAGATCAGGAGTATATTTCGTGAAACGAGGACATCGCTTAGGAATGGTTATCTCGTGTATTAGTGTAAGCTACCGTCTAGGATGCTTCTTCACATCCTTAGTAGAAACTTTTAAAATCAGCAGATTTTAAACAGGTGCAGGAGTAAACAATACTACTCAAGGTCATATTAACCAGATTTAAACAAACTGAATAAGGTTCTGGGTTCTAGCCTCGGTGGATGTATGCTGCTGAAGAGTCCCAAACTAGGACGAAACAGCTGTCCAGTACTCCCTGGGGTTTTCCCTATGGTTCTCTTACCATTGTCAGCTCATGATGAAATCCTGTAACTAAACTTAATAAAAGTAGTTATATGCAATATATTATCGATGAAGATTTTCGGTAGCACAAGTTTCAAGCAGGCCGCCAGTTGTCCATGACGTATACATCCTCTGAAATATACCTGTCAGTTCAATCCTTATGTTAGTGCCAAGTGTCGATTTGCAGGGGTTAGACTGCGCACAGTACTGTTCTGGAGCTGACATCTGTTACAGAACCATTGGAAAACGTGGGTGTACTGGAGAGCTATTCCGTTCCAGTTTCTTTCTTGGGACTCCTCATCAGTAGGAACCCACTCTGTAGGACCTTAGGGTTACAAGACAAGTCCAGAGATTATTCAGTCACTGGAACACAACCCAATGGCCCTATAGGGGATGCGCCTAGGGCTTTAGTGAGAAGCTTCAACCAGTGGGGTCCGCCATGTCAATCAACAGGACAATCACTCGCCCGTGAAACTGACTACCGGCTATGATAAATATATATCACGAATCAGCAGAATTAGGAATTCATGGACCACTGGGTTGTCTCCCAGTGGCTGAATGGTCAAAGTGCTGTTTTCGTAATTGGAAGGTCCTGGGTTCGAACCTTGACGTTTGGAGCACGCTGATGAAGAGTCTCAAAGTATCAACTGGGACAAAACAGTTGCCCACCACTTTTGTGTTATTACCAAGAAACAAAAATAGTTCAGTATAATTGAACAAGTGAAATTTCAACTGCCTTTAGGCAAGAATAAAATTAATTATTGTCGTTTTATAATATTTTTTTTCTGTTAACCAAAAAACAATGGTTGCTAACAAATGATTCGACAAACAGAAAAGGCGAAAAATCGAAGTAATTATTAACCAAACTGTCTGAAATCAAGGCTAAATAAGTCTCAAAGGTAAAAATGCATCAATTGTTTTCTTTTTTCTCTCTCTCTCTCTCTCACCACATATTCAAACTGACCAAACTAAGGTAGAAGATAATTATTAAAACAAGCTAAAGAATGATCAATGTTCGATAGTTGATTTAATCAACTAATTAGAATAGAAAATAGAACAGAGAAAATTATTCACTTGATCCTACTAAATACTCGGTAAAGTTAAGGAAACAAAGTAATGATTGTTTTTTAAGGGATACTTTATGGTGAAACGCTCTAATTATTCGTCCGTCTTTTATTATTTGTATGGGTTACAGGTAGAACATAAGGCTACAGCAGTATGTCTTCACTTCACTCTGTCCTCTGTAGTTTCTTTAAGCTAGCTGCAAAAAGCCGCTGAATAACGCCGCAGCTTCAAAAACTCCCCGTATTTTGTGTTCGGGAGTAAAAGACAAACTGCCTAATTTCACCCCTTCCATGTC